CCCCAAAACAAACAAATGAACAAATGAATAAATCAACTAAGCAAACAAATCTAGCAGTTGTGGTTATGATCTATAGATCATGGTCACAGATGTATATTTTTCAGATCAGCCACTTTAAAGACGAGACAGCAATGACATCAGAAACAGAACGAGGTTATAGCAGCATGCAGTAACAATAATAGCAATAGCAGAGCTAATAGAATAAAAATAATGAACGGTATTATTAATTTTTAAAAACCCACAAAACAAACAAATTATTATACCTTTAACTAAGCATCTAGCAAAATAAGACACCTTTCAGTGCGTGGGCTTACTGTATAGCTTGCTGAAAATGAAAAGCCCCACCCGGAAACCAGAGAAGTTTTAGTTGTTGTGTGTGTGTGGTAGCCTATCCGTTCGAAATGTTTGGAACCCCGAAGAGCGTGCTGTTGTTGTTGTTGTTGTTGTTGTTGTTGTTGTTTTGTTTTTTTGTAAGTGTTTTACGGCGCTTGCAACTGCATTTAAGGTTATACAAACGCGCAGGACCCATTAAACATTAACCAGAGAAGAAGTGCAATATAGTTTCATTCTATACTTCAAATAGTGATGGCATGTGCAAAGTCCGTACAAACGTCTGAGTAATCTAATACATCTTAGAACGTAAGCGTAATATCATCGTTTTCTAATAAATAAACTATGAACTTACTTTGAAGGAACTGCTTCCATATTCTGAACTTTCTGGTGCCACGTACAACTGCTCTGGTTCTGCAAAAGATATAATTATAACTCAATTTGAGTATTGGAAGGAATTAGAACAATTTAATTAGCATTCGTGACAAGTTGCATAAGTTGTCAATGAACAAAGACATTAAATGACGTTGACCTTAGTGTTTTTGCTCGACGTAATATGTCAACTGATACCCAAGTTCTCCCAGTTGTAGTTTTAGTTGGGCGTGTTTCAGCAAAAATAATGTTTACCTCTCAAGAAGAAAGTGTCTGAGAAGTCACCGTCTTGTCCGACCCACACTCCCCCCCCCCCTCCCTCACTTGCGGTTTGTTCCCAGCACCTCTAGATCTATATGCAGCCTGTCTAAATAAATGATTACACCCGCATTGTTGTTGAGTGGTTCTTCTACGGTGAGGCAGCGTTAATTATCACTGTCAGATTTTGCTACGAGTAGTCTATAATTATACCTATCAGTAACACAGAAACGAAGTGGAGGGGGAAAATCAAATCAGAGTGCCTACTTATCTTTAATTGTACATTTCAACGTGCTAAAACAACAATCGAACTTTGGCTGCAACTGTTTCAAGCATCCGTCAATGTTGCATTCTCTTCCCTAATACTACTGGAACCACTACTAAAGATTGAATTTTAAATAAAAAAAAGATCAGCACCTTCGACACGGTAGCGGTCATTCAGTGTTGCGACCAAGCAGGTCAGGAAGACATCAGATTGAGACAACAAAGAAGTAAACCCTTCCAGTCACGCATTCTAAACAAACACCCATACAATAACAGCACGGCATTCAATTCCGATAAATAACCAATCAGTCTTCAAAACAAACATAAAAAAAGAGAACGAAACTAAAATGAAAGGCTGATCGCGTGACTTGGCAAGCAGGTAAATACTTTGGGGACCGTCTATTGGGTCCAGCCTCTGTTCTGGGCGTTTTGTGGCGCCGTGTTGTGTGAACGTACAGTTGTGCTGTCTCAACATGTTTGAACGAACCCCATTGGATTCGTCCTGTTTGTTACTTAGTATGGCCTCCTTCGTGGGTGACAGCTTGATTAATTAAATCGGCAAACGGCCGAGGTGCAATAAGAAACACCAGAGTAACTGTACACTAGGTATTGTGTTTGAAGCTGTCGGTTTCGAAAGGAGTGAGGTTTGCTTGAAACGTCTTTCTTCTCGTGCGCTCATTAGCGTGTTGCTGTGTCTGTGCGCTTGCACAGACGGAAACATTATGTAGATCAGCAAAGAGCAAAACTTAGTTCTCGTCATGAAGACAGTCGAATAGTTTACTGGTGAACTGTGCAGAGGCATACTATATAATCAGTTAAACGGCTTTTGTTTAGGCCTACCGTATTATGTCTCTAAATCATAAGCAATTTTCGAGATCGTTTTTACGTCTTGAGTTGATGGCATTTACTACACAATAGTTTGGACCATAAAAGGAAGATCCTCATAGAAATAAGTACCAGATTAAGTTAGGTTTGATTAAGTTAAGAGAAGCGCACATGCACAATAACAGTAATTAAGTAGAATTTTTTTCCAAAAATATACACAACAGGTAGAAACAAAAGACGGAAAGAAAAGAAGTATAGGACCTACCATTGCAGTGACGCCCTCGAACCACCAACGGATTTATTGTTTTTTGACACAAGCAGAGAAAATCGATGGACAAAGGGTGTGTGTGTGTGTGTGCGTGTAAATGTGTGTGTGT